TCTCCAGCCTTTGTTCAAACAATGAACTCTCAAACACCCGAACTCTTGTCAATCACCTTAACTCTGTGCAACCAGGTTGCATCGAACTTGATGATTACGGTCTTATGACTTATAAGGATGTCAACTTTGAGTTGGAGTCTTGTTATCTCTCCCGGTCATCCTACTTGGGATATATAAACGGCGAGAATGTGAAAGGTAACAAGGTATACTCCATACAACGAGCATCTCCCACTTTCACTAGTTGGGCGAACATCCTTATCCTAGATGACAGACACAAGAACAGGATGTTTAAGGGGATACGGAACTTGACCTTCAATGAAATTCTTCGGATAAATCACCTCGCTGAAGAGCAGGACGACTTCCTAAGGTCTATTCCTGAAGATCAAGCCTACACCTACATAGCTAATGCAGTGCCCTCTGGAATGCTTCATACCGTCTATAAAGCGGTCATTGATGATTTGAATGGGGAATTAGATAGCGGGGGAGTATACTTTACCCTCTCCAATCTAGTCGCATTCGAGACACCAAAGAAGAACACAGCAACGCACTTGATTGGCAAAGTTATGAACCTCATGTTTGAGCCAAGTGAGGATACTGGGCATGTTCTGGACAATTCCTATCCTGAATTTCCAAAGGTTGATACTGACGTGTCTAAGAAACGACATGTCCGCACTGCGAAACACGATACTACTACCCGCGATACTACTGAGGCTGCTAGTAAAAAGCGCATGCGTGACTTTCACCGCATCTATCACTGCAACAATGACGTCGCGGCTAAGACAATGCAATGTACTACCAACCATCGTCTTCTTCCTGGTGACATTAAGCACAAGCAGAACTGCATGGAGTGTTCCATCTGCAAGAACGATAAGAACCCCCGCAGTCACTTCAACAAGAACATACCTACGAAAGAAGTTAAACTTTCAGTTGGTGAAGGCTACTCTTTTGATGGGGCAGATTTAACTCATATCTCCCATCAAGGCTTTCGTTATGTGCTTAATTTCATCGACGTTGTTAGCAAGACAAGGGTCGCTTACTATGTGAGGTCTAATGCCACACATGAATTCCGTGAAGCACTTGAGTATGTGAAGACGTATTCTAAGCAATTCACTGGGAATGAGCTGAAATTCCTATACTCAGACATGTTTTCGACTTACATGGAGTTTCGAAGTGACAATGGCATTGCTGCATTTCGAGATGAGACTGGGATCACCCTAGAGGTGTGCCCTCCTTACATGCACTGGAAGAATGGTGAAGTTGAATCTTCCATCCATGAATGTAAGAAAGGGACTAGAGTCCGTCTCCGTAATTTCGCTCAGCAGCTAGCTCGCTTGGAAAACAATCGATACATCAGAGAGACGAATGACTATTGGCCGTGGGCTTGGGAGCACACGTGTCAAAGTTTTAACTCACTCGCGTCTGTGGCACTAGAAAAGCGTTATGGTGTAACTGTAACACCCTGGCAATACTTTACTAATGACACTAGCCATCACAAGTTGGCACTCCAGCCTTTTGGTGAATTCTGCTACAGTCTTGTACAGAAAGAGAACCGCGATGGGTCACTTGGTGAAGTCAGACAGCCAGCGTACTTCCTCATAAATGGACGTATGAACTCGTTGAAAAACAAGTTCGCAGACATGCCCCGAGCACAGATATGTCTGTTCAACGATGGCAAAGTAAGAACTACAGGCTCTGCGATCTTCCCATACGAGATATCCGATGAACTTCATGATGGAACCAGGAGGATAATTCTAAATCCTGCTTTACCACAGCCACCTGAGAAGGAAGCGGCGGCTATCTCTGATGGGCATGGTTGGACTCAGAGAACGATTCATCGCACCTCAGACGATTTCCAGCGAACCCTGTCCGATATCGACATGGACGTAAACAAGGACCCGGATCCCGTGCAGATAGATCGGCAGAGGAGCAACGTGGCTAAAGCACATGACGTGCCTAGGAAATCATATGTTCCGGACCCGAGTGACTATCCGGACACGGAAGACAATCCAGACAAACCGGTTTTCTCTCCAGAAGAGGAAAACTCCGGGGGAGGGGCTGACATGGAACATGGTCAGCAAGAGGAAAAGTTAGAAGCCCACCCTCCCGTCCCTGAAGAACCCATGCGTTATGGGGCCGATGGCCAATACGATCATGATGACAACGATGTGCACAAGGGCATACCACTTGAATGTCGGCCACTCCCATGGCATCTGCGTAAGCGCCGGCG